CCATCGACATACGCCTAGTACTGACCCGGAAAGTCCATGCGAAAACTGTACGAAGATACGCCAGGTCCACAGTCTTATCACATCGAATGCTGTGTTAGGGCAACAGCGTTGGGCGGTAGTTCGAGCGTTATAATCCCTCCCTCCGGACTCAACTTCTTCTACTGTCCATCTTTCAACTCTTCGTCAATTTCGTGTTTTCCAATTGTTCGTTGCGAGAAAATGTCTGCAGAAGTCGCCACGGATCCTAGTCCGCGGAGCGAGAAATCGGTATCTGCTCATCCATTCTCCCCGCTATCGGCATCAGAACTCCAAGATGCTGCGGCAATCATCAAAGCTTCATGGCCAGCGCACACAGACCTGCATTTCAAGGTCGTGACGCTGCAGGAACCACCAAAAGTCGAGGCACTGAAATATCTGGAGGCTGAGCATAGCGGCAAGCCACTTCCATCAATCGCGAGAAAAGCTTTTGTCAATTACTACATCCGGAACACTGTATGTGCAAAGATGTTGGAAGTATGACTCGCGGCTAATTAGTCGGCAGAACAAATTCCACGAGGCTGTCGTGGACTTGACCTCACGTCGCGTAGATCGCAACGTCCTTCTAGGGCCCTTTGTCCATGCCAACGCGGATGGCGATGAAATCGTCGCTATCGAGAAACTTGTCCTGACCGATGAGAAAGTACAAGCGGAGATTGCCAAGCTCGAGCTCCCCCAAGGCACAGTAGTAATCAGCGACCCATGGATCTACGGGTCCGACGGAGTTGGAGACGAAGATAGGCTGTGGCAATGCTTCCTATACCTCAGGGACCCGATGAACTCATCAGAAGCCGACTCCAACCACTACGCAATGCCACTTCCTATCTCGCCCGTGGTGAGCACAGAGAAGATGGAGGTCATTCGCGTTGATATACTACCGACTGGTGCAGACAACACCATCAAGCCGGTTGAAAAGTACAAGATCCAACCGCCCAACGAGTACATACCCGAGGCCCAACAACTGCGCACCGATCTCAAGCCGCTTAATGTTGTCCAACCGGAAGGTGCTAGCTTCCAAGTCGAACAGCAAGGCACATCAAATGTCATCTCATGGCAGAAATGGAACTTCCGCGTTGGTTTCAATCAGCGCGAAGGTATGGTACTGTATGACGTCCGTTACGACAACCGTAGCCTGTTCTACCGAATGAGCTTGTCGGATATGAACATTCCCTATGCGGACCCCCGCCATCCCTACCACAAGAAGAGCGCGTTCGACTTGGGCGATGTTGGTGCTGGTATCATGGCGAACAACCTCAAGCTGGGCTGCGATTGTCTGGGTTCTATCTACTATCTCTCAGCCGTACTCGCCGACAATCACGGTGGGTCTGTGGAGATGCCCAACGTTGTATGCGTCCACGAGCAAGATGCTGGAATCGGTTTCAAACACACCAACTACCGCACCGGCCGCGCAGTTGTCGCTCGAAACCGGGAGTTGGTGCTCCAGAGCATCATCACTGTAGCCAACTACGAATACATCCTAGCCTTCATCTTCAACCAGGCCGGAGAAGTCGATTACGAAATCAGGGCTACTGGCATCCTGAGCACGCAGCCTATCGACGAAGGTGTCGAGGTGCCCTTCGGTACAGTCGTACACCCCGGTGTACTTGCCGTCCATCATCAACATATATTCTCATTGCGCGTCGACCCTATGATAGACGGGTATGACAACAGACTCGTGTACGACGAGGCGTTCCCGATGCCGCGCTCAGACTTCAACCCCCACGGTACTGGCTACTACGTTCAAGAGACGGTTGTAGACAAGTCTGGCGGCTACGACATCGCATACGAGAACAACCGCACCTTCAAAATCCAAAACCCGAACGTGCGAAACCCCGTCAACGGAAAGCCAGTCGCATACAAGATCCAAGCGCCGCCCTTCCAGAAGATCCTTTCCGACAAGGACTCTTTCAACTACAAACGCGCCGAATTCTCCGACCACAACATCTACGTCGTGAAGCACAAGGATGGCGAATTATACGCAGGCGGTACCTACACCAACCAGAGTCGTGGTGGAACTGGAGTGCGGAGCTGGGCGGAGAGGAACGACAACGTCAAAGACACGGACTTTGTCGTCTATATCCAAGCGGGCATCAACCACGTGCCTCGTATTGAGGACTTCCCCGTTATGCCTTGCGAGATCATCAAGATCCACATGAAGCCGGTCAACTTCTTCGATAAGAACCCTGCGCTGGATGTACCACCGAGTGAGCAGGCGTTCAACAAGAGCAGCTTGTTGAGTGAGCAGCACCAGCAGCCTAGTGTTACTGCGACGATTGGTGAAGATGGTACATGTTGTGCGCCGTCGGCGGCAAAGCTGTAGAGTTGTAGTATTCACGAATTGAACATCATCACGAAGACATGCGGAAATTATTTGTGAGATACCTTGTGATCATCCAAAGTCGAGATTGATCTTGATGCAAAGCTAGGAGCACCAAGAAGAATATGAGTATAGTAAGATGCGCTCAAATTGTATACGACCCATGTTCAACCTTGGAAGGGAAGAGTTGGTCGTGTGCCTGCAAAGCAGGTAAGACGCGCCAAGCCCAGAGTCGCGCTAGTGACGGTCCAAAGCTCATGCCTCGCGGAACCTTCGAAGCCTCAAAGAAACACTCACTCGATCTCCCGCGATATCCCGACCCTCTTTCACCGTGTACCTCCCAGCGATCTCTTCATCAATATCGAGCTGCACAGCGATGGCGCCCAACGACAAAGCGGGCAGAGTTGTTTTCATCGGCAACATTCCCTACGGTATGCGACTGCTCACCCTGGAGCCTACATTGACGCCAGATTTTCTCAATCTGCGTCTTTAACACTACTGTATCCCTAAACTGAGCTAACAAACCCAGGCGGCACTGAAGAGCTCATCATCGAAACCCTCGGGCGCGTCGGACAGGTCCTCAACTTTCGCTTGGTGTACGACAAGGAAACCGGGCGCCCCAAGGGCTTTGGGTTCGCAGAGTTCGCCGACGCTGACGCCGCAGCCTCCGCCGTGCGCAACCTCAACGACTACGATTTGATGGGCAGGAAGCTGAGGGTCGACTGGTCCAACGAGAGCGGCTCCGGCGACAACGCGCCTTCCAATCGCGACCAGACTACACAGCCAGCCATGAACGGCCAACAACCAGCAGCACCAGCACCGGCGCAACCGTCGAGCGCGCTGGGGCCTCTTCCCCCAGGCGTCGAGCTGCCGCCCAACCTCACCTGCCCCGATGCCATCTCGCGCACGCTCTCTACACTCCCTCCCGATCAGCTCCTCGATATCCTCTCACAGATGAAAGGTCTCGTCATGACGGATCCTGCCAAGGCGACGGAGCTGCTGCGACAAGCGCCTCAGCTGGCTTATGCCATCTTTCAGTCGCTACTGCTCCTCCAGCTGGTCGACCCACAAATCCTGACCTCGCTTGTGGAGACATCGGCCGCGCCTGCCCCAGTTGCGCAGGCTCCACCTGTTCAGCAAGTACAGCAGCCACCACCGCAAGTTGCGCGACCGCCTGTGAACTACCCCGGATACCCACCACAAGTCGCGCCTACACCTCCCCAACCTCAAGCTCCCGTCGCACAGCCGTACGCGCAGCCTCCACAGCAACAACAACCACAAGCGCCTGGGATGGACCAGCAGGCGCTGTACGCCCAAGTCATGGCGCTGTCGCAGCAGCAGATTGACCAGTTGGCACCAGAGCACCGCGCGCAAATCCTGCAAATACGGCAGATGTTGATGGCTGGCGGGCGGCCCTAGTTACGCCGAGACTTCCAGCAGCTTCATAAGGAGCGGAAAGTTGGCCTTGGTCTTGCTATGAAAGACCGCTTGTTCCACGAGCGGGGTGCGGAGGTCCTTTGGTGCATACTACGCGACGTAGGACAGAGCACAACACAACCTGATCTCATCGCGAGGAGCTTACTGGAAATCATGGAATACCCCGATCGCTGCTCCAGGGCGCAGTGCTTAAAAGAAGCGATGTTCTCATATGGCTTGTACAGCATGAAAACTTTCCCAGAAGAAAGCGAGACCTGGGAAATGATGAGTCGTGATTTGGATGGATCATCAGACTCTGGATTCGAATCGGATGACTCAGGCTATGCAGATGATGATGGATTGGACGTGCAGAAACGTGAAGGAACATGTGGAGTGTAATGAGTGGCTCCTCAGAAGGGCTGCATAGCACAGTCGCGAATAGATGTACACAGGTCGCACAAGCCTGATTAATGCAAAAATGGACTCAATGTCACACGCGCGCCTTGTTTTTGTTGTAATCCTTGTCGATGCGACTGGGTGATGTTTGACTATCAACGATCGGGTTTAAAGATTTCGGCGGCCTAACCAACATTGAACATGCAAGATAACTACACTGATGGCCTCGGAAATCTCCGCGCGCCTTGACTGTGTCCGATGAAGGTCATGGGAGGAGCTCGCAACACGTAGCAAGGACTACAGCTGACTACTAGAACTACCAGACTAGATTTCCGCGCCCCAGCCTGCACAGTTCACTTTGATCAACATGTTCTCGATGACAGCGAGAACAGCCCCGGAAGAAGCCCCGGTAAAGATCCGCAGAAGAAGCGTTTGCCATCGGGCAGCTATTGGCCCAGCCTCGCCTCCATCCCGTGTGGATCGAGCTAACCCTTGCCGCCAACTCACTCGGTTGCTGGGGCTTACGTCCCAAGCCGAGCACTTCAGCTGCTCTGCACCACACCAATCTTTGCGATTAGTACCGCGAGAGGCTGCTTTGGTTGTCCTTGGGCATTGCGCGCATACTTTCCTAGCCATTCTGCATCGGAAACCTGTACTATATCATCACGACATGACGATTTGAACGATTCTCTCTCACTTGCGACTGTCTGCAGCGATATACCCAGCATATCCCACCAAGAGACTCATCTCATTTGCGCCCGACCCATTGCCAGCACCACTTTGTAATAACAACGCATCTGCGCCCCCGCGATCCTGACTGCAGTCCTGCGCCATCATGTGGAGCAGATTGACCGGTAGCTCTGCTGCCTCCAACAGCAACAAGGACGAGGAAAGTCGCCGCCGCCGTACTAGCGACTCCACGCGTTCCAAGCGCGACCCAGACGCCCGCTCCGTCGTGTCATCGTCGACGACGCGCAAGCCATCGACATCGACCTCATCTAAACGTGACACTGCGCCTTCCGCGTCCTCGATTGCCTCCTTCACGACTGCCTTCGACGAGATGCCGCGCTCACGGGCCACAACAAACAACACGAGCGGTCCCTACGACGACGACAACATGCGTCGCGACGATCGCCGCAGCAGCTATGCCGAGTCGTCCAGCTCGACACTGCGCGACGACAAGGACCGCAAGACGGGTAAGGCCAAGGACAAGAAGCTCGAGAAGCGCCGCTCGACGCGCTCAGTGCGGTCCGGCAGCACGTCGCAAACTGGCGCCGGCTACAGGGGCGAGATTGTTGACAGTCCCAAGTCGGTCCAGCGCAGCTTCAGCGGCCAGATTGGCAGCGACGGCTTCTCGCAGTTCCCAGGACAGGCAGGAGCGCCCATGATGTCGGGCGCTCTGCCAGTAGGAAGCCACCCACCACATCCCGACGACATGGACGATCACGTGCAGAGCCAGTTCCCCGGCCAGGACCCTCTACAATACACCTCGAGCGCGCTCCCTGGCGGCCATCCATTTGGAGCGGCTGCCGACTTCTACAACGACCAGGGCCAGTCGGTGCACCAGCAGCCTGGCGTGAGGCCCCAGCCGCCCTCTGTCATCATAGGACAGGATACCCCCCATCTCATGTCTGCCTCCGCGCAGCCCAACCCGGTTGCCGACACCGGATCGGGCGCCGCTGCAGACTTCTACGGGCCCAGCACAAATGGCTCTTCATCCAGACCTCCACGACCATCGAGCTCGTCCATGCCCGGTGCCTTCGTCGACGACACCCCGACGCCCCAGAAGCCACCGCGACCCGCATCTTCATCGAGACCCAACAAGTCGAGCACCTTCGGCCCAGCTGCTACTGCGGCCGGCGGAGCTGCCCTGGGATATGCCATGGGCCACAGCTCTTCTAATCATGAACACACCACGAGCTACAGCTCATCGAACGTTCGCCCTTCTACATCATACTCTTCTTATACTAATAATACCCCCCCGGCTGCTCCGGCTTCCACGTACAACATGTACGGCCCGGGATCTAATGCTTCTAATACCGCTGCCAACGACGGCAGCTACCTCCCACCCTACGCTGCAGCCGCCGCCTACGGCGTGGAAGGCGCGCCTCCTCCAAAGCCACCTCGGCCAAGCAAGCCAGAGAAGCACTCGTCTGGCAGCATGGCTGGACTGTACGCTGCTGGCGCCGCAGGACTGGCGGCTTATGGCTTAAACCAACATAATTCACATTCACACACCCACTCCAACACCCACACCCACTCGCATAGCACACACCATCATCCTTCGACGCACGGCCCCAACGGACACCATCAGAATGGCCTTACACCCAGTCCATACATCTCAGGCGGCATGGCTCACCAGCATCAGCACACTGGGCCTGTTTCCAAGTTTGTCGACTGGTGGAAAGACTACGAAGACGTGCAGAAGATGGAAGAGTACACCGAGTACATTGGAGTTTGCAAGGGTTGTTTTGACCCCCGCTCTTCCGTTCTGGACGCCCCACGGAAGCACCACTACTACAAACGGCGATCCAATGAGTTTATGCGACCCACTGGTGGCATTGAGAAGCAATCTCGATACTCGCTCAAGGAGAAGAAGTCTTGGGGCTCAATCTCTTCGGGCGAGGAGCGTCGCAAGAACAAGAGCAGCGCCGCGGGCTGGGTAGCTGCAGGCCTGGGCGGTATGGGCCTTGCCAAGGCTGGAAAGGCTGTCTTCAGCGCGGGTCGCGACGACTTTGACGACACATACAGCATCAAGTCCGGTCGGTCAAGGGTCTCACGACACAGCCGCAGCAGATCAGGGGATCGCAAGAGTTACAGCTATGGTAGCTCTGGCATCCGCCACCGGAGCAATTCTGCCGACCGCATTTCCGTCATGTCCGTAGGCGTTACGAGCGACAAAAAGGATCGTAAAGATCACAAGGTCGTTCGCCGTCAGTCTCGGTCGCGCCGTTCTCGATCAAGCTCAACTTCAAGCTCCAACTCAGGACGCGGCAAGACAGGCCTGATCGGCACTGCCATTGGTGCAGGTCTTGCAGGAGTCGCCCTTGGAGCGGCCACAAAGAAGAAGCAGCACAGCCGATCCAGATCCCCGAAGAGGGTTCAAGTGGTTCATCACCGCAGAGACAGCAGTGACGATGAGCGTCGTAGGAGAAGATCGCATTCACTCCGACACAAAGCATCTCGAAGCTCAACATCCGGAGCCTCTGTCATCGAGATTGGCCAGACTCACGAGTCCCAGGGTGGCTTCCTTGGAGGCTTCTTCTCTGCACCTCCACCAAAGGAGAAGCGTGTGAAGACAGCCAATAGCCTGAAGAAGAAGAAGAAGGGCTTCTTCAGCTTCAGCAACGCTTCAACGTCTTCATCTGACTCCGAGATGGCATTCGGCACCGGCTACGTAAGGAGGACGCGCAGACGATCGTCGCCGAAGAGACGAAACTCGGATGAGCGACTGAAAGCTTCGCTACTTGGTCTTGGCGCTACGGCTGCTGCTATCACAGCCGCGAAGGCTGGCAAGGGCAAACGCCACAACGAGGTCGTTGCTGTTAAGGAGAACCGTCTTGGTCGCAAGACCAGTCAAACTTCTTCGCGGCCCGCCTCCCGTTATGGAGACGACGAGTGGGAGGACTTGCCAGACGATGGTACTTCCGACTCTTCGAGTGATGGCGGTCTCGTATACGGCGATTACTCCCTGAAGAAGACCAAGAGCAATGAGTCTATCGGATCCAACCACTCAGGTACGAACAAGTGGGGCTGGCGATGGGGCTTTGGCAAGAAGAGAAGGTCTTCCAACAACCTATACGACAACATCGCTAGTACATCGCTCATTGGGCCCGCCGCAGCTGGCGCAGCAGGTGCCTTGACCGGCGCAGCTGTTGGAGCTGCCCATGGACATCACGACAGTGAGTCTAGCAGCGCCCAAACATTGCAGTCGGTCTATCCAGTTGCACCCCATGACCCCAATGCGTCGTTCGACGCACGCCGTACAAGCTCTATCGTCACCAATCAGCCTATTGTCACCTCAGGACCTGGTCCCATCCCCATTCAACACCCTCAGCCAGTGCAGCAAGTCCCTGGCGCCATCTACTCAACACAAGCACCATCGCAATCTGGGTACACCACAGCAGGTCCTTCAGACTTCCCACCGGCACCTTACCCACCTCCTTATCCCATGCAGTCTCAAGTTCAGAACATTATCATTCAAAGTCCTCAGCATCCTCAATTCCGTCGGGCAAACTCTTCTCCTATCCAAAGCTCGTCATGGAAGCGAGATGCATCTATCGCTGGACTTGCAGCGACTGCCGGATTTGCAGCAGTTTCTGCAATGAAACACCCCGACCGACCTCCGAGCCGACCGCCGTCCGCGTCTAGCAATGTTCGCTTCAACCTGACACAAGAGCAGGCAGAGAAGGACCTCCGTGAGCGACGCAAGGAGCAGGAGAGACTCGACGAGGAGGCCGAGCGGCGCCGAGAACAACAGAGACGCGAGGACGAGGCGCGTCGGGAAGAGGAAGACCGAGTGCGCCGAGAACAGCTGCGACAAGAGGAAGAGGCCCGGCGAGCGGCACTTGCGCTCCGTGAGGAAGAGGATCGCCTGCGCAGAGAGCGGCAGCTACAAGAGGATGAGGCTCGACGGATTGAAGAAGACCGCCGGCAAACCTTGCTCCGCTTGGAGGAAACGACGCGCCAAGAAGAAGCGCGACGCCGAGACGAAGACGAGCGACGTCGCCTAGAGCTGCAACGGCAGCAGGAGGAGGCCCGCAAGTTCATGGACATCGAACGCTTGGCGAGGCTCGAGAACGAACGCCGTCGCGAACAGCAAGAGGTCCAGGCACGCCTCGCTCGGGAAGCCGAAGACCGCGAACGTCATCAACGGATGTCCGAAATGGAGCGCCAGCGTCAGCTCGCCATCGAGGCTGCGGAGGCTGAGCGCAAACGGAGAGAGCGTCGTGAATCTCAACAACAAGAAGCTGAGCGTATCGATGCCGCGAGACGCGAAGCTGAGATTCAAGAAGACATGGAGCGCCGACGCAGGGAACGCGAAGCTCAGGACTACACCGACCGATACGAGAGCGACCGGGCTCGGAAGCTCGAACAGCAGCCAACAGGAGATTCAATGGCTTCGACTGCCACTGTTGTACAACGCAAGGAGCAGGAGCTGCAAGACCGCGAACGCGAGGCTTTCAAGTCTGACAAGAAGTCTTCCGTTGCTGGCGCAGTAGCTGCTGGTGCAGCAGCAGCAATCGCAACTGCCGCGATCAAGGACTACAAGGACAACAAGGACAAGGAGAAGGAGAGGGAGCGCGAGAAGAAGCGCGACAGCAAGTCTTCGTCTTCAACGAAGAGCAGCAAGAGCGAATCCTCCTCGTGGAAGCGCAGCAAGAACGATTCTTCTTCGTCCAAGAGCAGCAAGAGTGAATCTTCATCCTCGAAAAGCAGCAAGAAGCGGGAGCCAACCAGCGTCAAGACTATCGAGCCCAGCAAAGTCAAGCAGGACATCTTTGACGAGGACATCTTCAATCCCGATATGTTCAAACAGAAGGACACTTCACGCCAGGACGCTCGCGAAGTCCTTCAAGATTGGGAACAGAGATACTATGCAAAGCCAATATCCCAAGCTGAATTCTTCGCACCGGAAGAGCTCTTGGCCAACGACAACCTGCCCAAGGTCCGCCCAGTAGACCCGAACGAGGGTGCTCCAGATCTGCCCATCTACCAGTCCTGGGAAGACTATCCTGTCAGCCAGCCCAAGGTCCCGCCTTATCCTCCATCGTACGCTTTCACCGCCACCAGAAATGGTCGGTCCTCTCAACCACAACCGCTACCTCAAGTTCCATCGCTGAACCTCATCTTGCCTACTCCTCCCGGTAGTCGCACACCTTCTGTGCGCAGTGCATCTGCCCCTCCATCGCCCGCTATGGAACCCATCAGGGAGACTAGAGAGACTAGACGTGAGCCAAGAGATGACGAATCGAACCGAGCAAGGTCTAGGGTAAGCTGGGGCGAGAACCAGTTCCACCACTTTGACGTACCTACTCCGGAATCTTACCGCGAGCAATTTGTCTCAGATGGCGATCTCAGGTCGCGTGAAGCCACCGTCGAGCGCGAGCCGCCCAAGCCCGAACAGACGACGTCCACCTACACACCCTACCGCCCCGAGATGTCAAGAGTCCCCGAGAGCAAGGAGACTGCACCAAGCACGCAATACGTTCGGGACGAGAAGGACTCCAACTGGGACAGTGTCGTGGATGCTGCTTCCAAGAAGAGCAACAAGAAGGAGAAGAAGTCAGCTGCAGCGGCGGCAGCAGCAGCACTGACGACTGCAGCGGTTCTTTCCCGAGATCAACGAGATCAAGAGGACGAGCGTAGCTACAGACGCGACAATCCGACTGCATCTGCCCTGAGCAACCCAACTGCATCGAACCTTAGCAGTGCGACCTCCTACGATTTCAGCGATCCAACTGCGTCTACCGTCAGCACTATCGTCAGCAATGCAACTGCAGCTGGGTTCAGCAATCCGACTGCTTCTTCCTTGAGCAACCCGTTTTCCGATGGAAACAGGGCCCCATCCACTATCGCTCCATCGATCATCTCAGCTGCACCATCTTCCACAGTCACTCCCTCCATCATCTCAGCTGTGCCATCTACGAGCAGCGTTCAGACAGCATACTGGCAGCCTGAGTCAGAGCGCGACGCGTGGAGGGCGCCCCAACAGACTACAGTGGGACCTGGCTTTGTTGAAGGCGAGATTCCTACACCGCCAGTGTCTATGCACATGCCCGGCGGCTGGGACGACATACCGGAATCTGAGGTGCTTGCAGAGGAGCCGCCGACATCGTCTGCGAAGAAGGACACAAAGGGTAAGAACAAGACTAATGATACTGACGAAGTTGTAGCTATGCAGAATGTTTCTCGGCGTGGAGAGCCAACATCTGCGGTGAAAGAGAGGGAAGCTGAGCCAGAGGTCAAGCTCAGCAAGAAGGAGAAGAAGGACAAGAAGAAGAAGTCCAAGTCATCGAAGCGAGCCAGTGTGGACACTTGGGAGATGAGTGATCCCAGTCCGCCATCAAGCCCGATCATGGAGCGCGATCCCAGGGACATTGAGCCCTCCCGAGATCCCAGGGATATTGAACCTTCTCGATCTGCTGAAACCTCACGTTTCGCCGACTCTTCTCGCTCAACTGAGCCATCTCGATCTGCCGAACCACCACGTCTAGGAGAAGCATTCCAAGAGTCCCCTAGTCCCCCGAAGAAGCCTGCGCGACAAAGTGAAAGCAGCGGCGGTAAAGCCTCCACCGCTGCCATGGCCGGTGGTTTCGCTGCTCTAATGGGCATGACCATGAACCAGGATCAAAACAGGATGGCCTCGGATGCCGAGCGTGCCAGGAAGGATCTTGAGTCCACAGAGAAGCACCATTCACGCGACTCGCCTGTATCTCCACCGAATGGCGCACGTGCACTCGAACGGAATGAGAAGAATGTGACAATCCCAAGCTACGCATTCGAGGGCGTTGAGGAGCTGGCCGATAAGACACCAAGGCCGAAAGTCCAGAAAAGACACAGCAGCGGCAAATGGTCACCTAGCATCAGTTCTCCTCTCAGGACCGAGACGACGTATGACGACTACATAAACGCCCGCACCATTCCCGATCCTTCCAGATACCAAACAATGGTCGAGGCCCCAAAGGTTCCCACTGCAGCGCCGTTCACGATGGCGCATGATCCAGTCACCGCTCGTAACGTAACCGACTCTGAGTACTATGCTCCCGACGACGTGCCGAGCCGGGCGGGCAACGACAAAGAATCGAATGGATTCTATCCCGCAGACTTCAACGAGGAGGCAAAGGACAGGCACTCACGAAACGATCGCGACCAGGATGTCGATGACAGATACGATGATGACTTCGACGACAGACCACGCAGGTACGATGATGACGATGTGGGCTCAATCGCTTCTCTTAGCTACAAGTACGACGACCCCGATCGCGAGGAGAGACGCCGCAGACGTCGCGAAGCCAAGTCCGAGACACGTGAGAAGAGCCACGACCGCGGTTACGATCTTGAAGAGAGTGGAGAACGGAGGCGAAGACATCGCCATCATGAGGCTGATGAGGGTGCTGACGACTGGGACACGAAATCCGCCATCTCCGAGACTGGCGAGCGTCGACGCAAGCACAGGAGAAGGGATGGCGACAGAGACGCATCACCCGAGACCAAGACTAGATCACGCTCGTCAGCAGCTTCCGAACTCGGCGACCACGATGATGATCGCAAGTCCTCCCGGAGACGATCCAAACGAGATGATGACATGGTTTCCGTCGTATCCTCAATCCCAGATCTAGACGAGGATCGCAGCTCAAGGAGGGAGAAGGAGAAGCGTCCAAGTGGCTTCCTGGGCCTTTTCGGCAGCAAGTCGAGGGAGAACTTGAAAGAAGCTTCAAGCAAGTCCTCGAAATCTAAGGACGACGACGATGAAGAACGCAAACATCGTAGACGGAAGCATCGGTCGGATCGCGGTTCCACCTACGGCGGCTCAGACGATGATGACATGCGCTCCACGATCTCGACCAGTAGTCGACGCGAAAAGAGGAGCAGCCGCAGTCGTAGCGAGAGAGGAGACGGAGACAGGACGGATGCTTATGATGACAAGGTACATCGCTCTTCTCATGTGCGATAGCACCGTTGTTCGCAATGTATTTAGAATGAATGTTGATGTCGTGTTTATAGGATCTCTTACAACCTCGAACCCCGCCCTCGCATGCCGATGAACAACAACAACCACAACAGCAGTCTTTTTTAGGCGATCGGGCAGTGACCACAGCCACTCCAAGTCCACTGCCCGTAAGTGAGCCTGTCGATCAGGCCCACGAGGGTAGTGGCATGATCCTTGGAGATCGGGCCGAGTTTCCTCTTTCGACCTCGGATGATGCCCAACGCTTCACCGCCTCTGGAGACAACGACCTACCGCCCGAACTATCGTTCGAAGACAGCCGCGCGCTTCTAACTCGCCTTACAGGCCTTCAGCCTTGGCAGCTGGAAGCTTTCCCCGATGAGCTACCTCCGCTGCCGCTGTCTAGGCCAGGTTCGCCAACACGTTCGCCAGACGTCACACGTCCTTCGACCGCGATTTCTCAACGTCGACTATCATCAACGGCAGTTCCAATACGCTTCCGCAAGCCCGTCATACCCTCTACCGTTGACCCTAGCTTAGCAGCTGATCCTCTTCCTGGCCCTTCACCAACCCGTTCTCGCCATGGCAAGACGCACTCCACAGAGTTTAGGAACTCTCGAGAGTTCCGACCTTTGTATCTGGTGGAGCGCAACCGCAAGTCCAATGAGATCGATGAGGTGTTGCCAGCGCTTCCACCCAGTAGTGCCTCTTCAGTAGTCTCTGGCGCGGATTCAGAAGAAGAGTTTGAGTCTGCTCAAGAGTCGCCTTACGAGAGCGCTGGACAGTCATCTTATGACTCATTTTTCGATCCTTTGAGTACCGTAGCGGACCTCATTGCGCCCAGCCATGGACCGGAGCTTCAGCATCCCGAGCTTGCCCATCGCGAGATTGAAGAAGTCGAGGAATCCGGCCAAGCTACCCCCAAGGCCTCTGACTACTTCACAGGTGCCCAGGAAGCGTCAGCACCGTCTAGCGGTCCCAACTATGAATCGCTTACTGCGGCACTGGAGCATGCCAGAGCACAGGAACAGGATTCGTCCACCGACGATTTCATGTCGACTTTGACCTCCCCACAGGCGGAGACTCCTCTTGAGACAAGCGCGCCGCTCGACGACAAGATGATGCGCGACGTTCCCAAATCCCGCGACACTACTTCTGCCCCATCGAGTAGTTCATCAAGACTCCAAGACGCTGCTCTTAGCGCAGTAGTGGGAGGATTGACAGCAGCTGCTTTGCGAAAACGCTCTCCTTCACCAACTCGATCTCAGCGCGATGACACCAAAGACAAGGCTTCGTCAGCTGCTGAGCCAGAGCAACCCGAGCCCGAAACCATCGAACCTGTTGTCGAACCATCGCCAAAGGGCAAGGGTAAGGCCAAGAAGACCAAGAAAAGTAAGAAGGGTAAGGAGCCCGTCGCCGCCGAGTCTCCCGTAGCCCCGTCGCCTGTTATCCCATCGCCCGTAGCTCAATCACCCGAGGAGATGATGAAGCCATCGCCCTCCTTCAGCTTCGCCACTACCTTCGTTGACAACGAGGAAGATTGGGCCAAGAACAGGACTGAGTCCGTCGTTACGGACGATGCTACGCTTGTTGGTGAGCCTGTCGGAACGCCCAAGGATACCAAGGCCTTTCAACAGAAGGTATTGGACACTACTGCACCAAAAGAGGACGAATCCACCGAGGTCAGACGCGCTGTCTTTGATAATATCCCTCAAGAAACTGCGAGATCAGTCGAACCTGTCGAAGAGGCAAAGCAGGGTCTTGGGATCACCACCGAACCGGCTGCTACAACTGTCGAAGTTTCACAAGACGCCCCTGTTGAGCCTAGCTCTTCCAAGTCTGTTGAACCCGCAATTCCTGAGCCGATCGTCGAGGAGGAAGTTGCGACTACACCCAAGTCCAAGAAGGCGAAGAAGAACAAGAAGGGTAAACGCGGCAACAAGCAAGCTGAGGCTGAGGCCGAGCCGGCAACCCTCCCAGAGGTTCCTACTCAAGATGATCAGATCTTGCCTTCGTCCGAGTCGCAGCAAGACACTATTGAACGCGATATCCTCGAGCCATCTTTCGAACAGGATGAGCCCAAGGACAATGTTGATGTCATGGATTTCTTGGTTCAAGAAGAGGCACCAGTCACTCCGACCGATGAAGCAATTCCGCAAGAGGCAGCTCCGCAAGAGACAGTGCCTGTATCTACTACCCCGGCAAACCCCGAAGAGCCCAAGTCGGAAGTTTCAGCTGGGCCTGCCACACCAGAGGTTCCAGCTCGGCCTAGCACAGCAGATGGCGCCGAACAAGCCAAGAGCACTCCCGTCGAAGAAAACCGCCGAGCTTCCGGGATCGAAGGACAATCGGCAGGTTCAGGCTGGGGTTCCGGCCTGTGGGGTGCTATCGGATGGGGCAAGAAGAAGGCCCCACCGCCGCCAACATCTGAGCCTCCGTCTTCTCCGAAGCCCCAATCTGCCGTCCTCGCCGCACTAGCTGCAGCCAGAGAAGAGGCCAAGCGCAAGTCACAACCATCCTCACCAACTGTGTCTGAGAGGAAGAGCTCCAAGTCTGAGAAGAGGCCTTCTATCTCCCGAGTGAAGACGCAGGATGAGACGTCAAAGCCGGAGTTGCTGCAGAAGATCGAGTCTAGGAGATCATCTGTTCCTACACAGAGGCCTACTGAGGCCACGACCCGCGAAATTGTCAAGGAAGAGGCCAGCTCGAGCGTTGCTCCTCCTACGGCGGTCTTCACTGATGATGGAAAACCTTCCTTCGCATTCCCTCAGCCATCAGCGGCTCCTCAGGAACTATCTATCGAGACTCCCAAGGAAGCTCCTGTCGTCGAAGAGAAGGCTACGAAGCAATCTGAGGATGCCACGCCATCTACTGCCTTCTTTACCGACGACGGCAAACCGTCTTTTACATTCCCGCCGGTATCTTCCACGCCTGCAGCTGAACCAACGACAAAGTCCAACGAGGCGGTTGTTGCCAAGGAGGAAAAGAGCCCTGCGTTCGTGTCCCCGCGTACCGCATTCTTTACCGACAATGGGAAGCCATCTTTCACCTTCCCCACGATGCCATCCGCCCCTGCGGTCGAGCCAAGCGTCGCATCGAGGGAAAGACCTCTCGCAGAGGAGACACCGGCTCCTGTTGACGTCTCGCCACGGAATGCGTTCTTCACAGATGACGGCAAGCCTTCGTTCTCGTTCCCTTCGGTGCCGTCTGCGACCATCGAGCAAGCGCCTTCGGTCGCGAAGGAAGCAGAGGTTGTGGAAGAGCAGAAGAAGCCTGCGTTTGTCGCGCCCCGAAGCAGCTTTTTCACTGATGATGGAAGACCTTCATTTGCATTCCCATCAGTGCCAAAGTCTGCTGAGCAAACAGCCTCAACTGCCGATGAAAAGGCCCCTGCGAAGACCCAAGAACCAGCCACCTTTATTGCACCTCAGACCAGCTTCTTCACCGATAATGGAAAGCCTTCATTCACCTTCCCATCAGCGGCAGCACCCGCCCAGCCCTCGGCAACGATCAGCAAAGACACCATCTTTGAAGAGAAGCCTGCTGAGCAATTGTCTCTTGGCCGAAGTGGTTTGTTCACTGATGCTGGAAAGCCTACCAGCACGATCTCTGACTTCGTCCCAACCGAGTCTGGCGGTTCCGCTTACGATCGTATCTCGGTTGAACCCAGCTCGTCAAAGAAGAAGATCATCAAGACCAAGAAGGAGAAGAAGGCAAAGAAGAGCAGCGTACCGATTCCCGATTTCGATGAGCCTGCAGCCGACGCTGCCAAGTCTGCCGATGCTCCAATTGACACGGTGACAAAAGATCTGGGCGACCAGGTGACCGCTGAGCCTGTTAAGCCTGACCCTGAAGCAGCCAAACCTGCTGAGACTCCTTTGGAATCTGCAATCGAAGCTTGGGGCGAACAGCTAGTATCTGAGCCAACTCCTCTGACTGAAGAGCCGCCTATCGTTGATTCTGCCGAACGTACCGTCAAGCGCGAGCAACCAGCTACTACAGAGCCATTTACCATCGACGAAGATGAAGTCACGTCACCTGTCAGCAAGAAGAAGGCTAAGAAGAGCAAGAAGAGTAAGAAGGCTGAACTCGAAAGCACTGAGGTTGAGACCGCAGCCCCAACAACTCCGATCGAACCTGCTGCTCAACGTTCGCTGGATGCTCCTGCAAGCGAATCTGCACCTGTCACCGAGACTGTTGCTGAACCGGTATCCGCAGAGGTTGTGCAAGAGAAGATCGCGCCCTCTAACACGGAGGCTGCAGAGCTTGTATCCGAGCTCGCACCGACTGTTGAAGAGCCTGCCCGTGAAGAACCCTCTCTACCTGTTGATGTGGCCACACCCGCAGAGCGTGAAGCACCAGCTGAGTCCGTGCCTTCTGCTCGAGAAGATGCGCCAAAGACAAAGAAGAGCAAGAATAGTAAGAAGAAGAGCGGTATCTCCACGCCTCAGGAGGAGCCTATGACTGCTACCGAGCCATCTTCTGTGACAGCTTCTGAGGCTATTGCCGACCAGCCGACTTCCGTTCCGGACGTTATCCAACCTTCTATTGTCGAGGCCGCTGACATTCCTTTGCCTGCGCCGCAACCCGATGAAGACCTCACACAGCCTCTCGAAGAGGCACTCCCCAGAGATGCCCCTGCCGAGCAGGAGCCAATTCCCGAGCCCTCTTCTGCACCTGTAGAAGCCGATCCCCCTGCTACATCCAAGACCAAGAAGACCAAGAAGAGTAAGCGGAAGAGCGGCACTGTGACACCCCAGCCTGAGGCCGAAGTTGTACCTGAGCAGACCGAGGCACCCCTCGAGACATCTGCCCCGATCAGCGAACCAGTCGCAACTCCAAGCGAAGTAGTTGATCGGTCCCGCAACATCGAGCTACCTTCATCGGCCGAGCAAGCTGCCGATGTAGAGACCTCTCTACTCGAGCAGAAGCGTGACGACGGAGCTGATGCCGCGACTGTCCCTTTCCCGACGGAGAGCTTTGATGAAGATCTCTCAACACCATTGGAGCAGTCGAAGTCTATGGACGAGGTTACTCCTTCTGTTGAGCAGACAGTGGAAGATGCTCCATCGACACCTGCTTCGAAGAAAGACAAAAAGAAGAAGGGGAAGAAGAGCAAGGCTGTTGAGACACCTGTGGAGGAGGTTGTGGTTCAAGAGGAGGAGAGCAAGAGCAGGCAGATTGGTCAAGGGGAGGGACTCTTCGGTGCGGAGACATCAGTCATGGAGAATGTTGATGTGAAGGATACGGCTACCGAGGAGACTGGATCGGCCCTTCCCAGAGAGCAGCTGCAGTCAGACGTTGCAGAGCGTGCGAACGAGATCTTTGCGCCAGCTGAACCAACTCGACTTGAGCCCCTGTCTGAGGCTCCTATCGTCCCGACAGAAGATGCACCGATCGCCGAGCCAAGCCAGCCTGCGGATCTAGCGGTCGATGATGTTGCTGAAGCACCATCTTCTTCTAAGAAAGACAAGAAAAAGAAGAAGAGCAAGAAGACGAAGACCGATGAGGAGACTCTGGCTCCCCCGACCACCGATGTCCAGCGCGAAATGGAGCCTACTCTACAGACTCCTGAAGCTCAGCCCATCACTGAAGCTCTGCCTGAACAGCAACATCCTGAACCTGTTCAAGAAGTATCGGTCGATGTTATTCCGGAATCCAGCGCGGTTGTTGAAGACACTGCCGAAACCGCCGCAAGGCAGACTTCCATGGACGTTTTGACTCCTGCACGAGAAGCCCCAGTCGAAGAGCCCACACGACCTGCCACGCCATTGGAGGAAGAGCCTTCGACGCCATCAAAGAAGTCTAAGAAGAAGAAGGCCAAGAAGGGTAAATCCGTCGAGATTGAACCCACTTCTGCAGATCCAGCCGATGTGCAGACGGAGACCCAACCTTCTATGGAAGCCGCTGGACCTGAATCTCAGTCAATCGTGGATGCCGCACTCGCCGGATCTTCCAAACCAATCCAGGAGGCCCAGGTCGAGACTGAAGCAATCGCAGCAGACCGAGCGATCGAAGTCGCGCCTGAGGTTCCTGTAGAGTCAGTCGCCGGAGCAGAGGCGGTGCCTCTTCCTGAGACGCCGGCCCGCGAGATCGATGAGCCCATCGCGGAGGTTTCTCAGTCCTCGGTGCCTGCCGAAGATGTTCCATCAAAGCCATTGCAAGAGGCTTCAACCACCGAGGCAGAAGCAGTACCTCTTCCAGAGACGCCAGCCCGAGAGATCGACGACCCGATCGCGGATGATCTGCCAGCAACCCCATCGAAGAAGAGCAAGAAGAAGAAGGCGAAGAAGGGAAAGTTAGCTGACACCGAGCTAAGCACCCCTGTCGCTGAAGCTGCCAGTTCTCAGCAAGACCCGTTCATTGAATCTGCGCAACCCAAGGCACCCGCAGTTGAGGCTACCCCATCAGTACCAGTCGAGGAAATCAAGTCAGAGCGGGATGCATCACCGGCTGAGCTTGTAGCTCTTCCGGAGACTGATGACCAGGATCTGGAGGAGCCGACAATCCCTCAGGCTGAAGCTGCGAAGTCACAAGAAGAAGCATCACCAGCTGAGCTCGTAGCTCTTCCTGAAACCGACGACAAAGATCTCGACGAGCCCGCAATTCCCCAAGTCGAGGCTGCGGAGAACGTTCCTGCTGTTCCCGAAGTCGTTGCCGACATCTCTGATAAGGTCGACATCGCACAGCCAGGACCCACTCAAGATTTCACCGTTCCAGCGGCTCCTACCGAGCCTGTTGCCGAGGCCGAACCAGCTGAGCCAATCTCGAAGAAGAGCAAGAAGAAGAAGGGTAAGAAAGGCAAATCCATCGACACTACTGAGCCCAGCACACCGGTTACTGAGGAGCCAGCACCACAGTTCGACGTTCCTCCTGAGCCTGTTCAAGAGGAAAAAAGTGTTGCAGATACCGCGGCGCCTTCGCAGGGAACGACTCGTACAGTTGTTGACACCGATGAGCCTGCACTTGTCCGGGAGAGCGTCACGGACGTTTCACCCGCGCAGCAGGATGCGCCCATTGAGGAAGCTTTGGTTGCGCCTACCCCTTCTAGTCAAGCTATTGAGGACGAAAGCGCCGAGCCTGTCTCGAAGAAGAGTAAGAAGAAGGCAAAGAAGGAGAAAGCCAACCAAGAGGCTGAGGTTGAGCAAATCCCAGCGACGCCTCTGCCTAAGCCTGTTACGGAAGATACTGCTGCCGATGCCAAGCTTGATGTCAACCTTGAGGCAGCTGCACCCGAGACTACTGAGCAGCAGCAGACCATGGAACGATCAGAGCTCGAGCCCACAACTGGTGAGGCGTCTTTTGACAGGCCGGTCGAATCTGCCGCCGATGTTGCTACCCCGGCAACTCCTCTTGAGAGTACGGACCACCCACGCGACGTACCATCAACGGAGAGGTCACTGCCCGAGACTTCACAAGTTCAAGACCAGGCAGAGGCCGAAGATGCTCCCAGTACACCCAAGAAGAGCAAGAAGAAGAAGAAGGGCAAGAAGGGAGAGTTGGTCTCCGAACCTCAGACTCCCGTTACCGAGTCTGAGCCAGTCTTCCCGGAGACCACTGTCCAAGAAGCGCTTCCATCTACCGCTGAGACCACCGAACAACCGGTTAGTCGGGATGTTGCATCCGAGTCTACTTTCGATGTTCTGCCTACGCCTGTTGAGACCTCTACCACTGAGCAAGACGTTCCCGCTCCTACAGAGCCAGCGCAGGTTGAGGAAGTGGTTCAGGCGATCGATCTTGAGCCAGCACGTGATGAACCCGTCCCAGAGCAAGCCACCGAGGAAGCGACACCACTCTCAAAGAAAGACAAGAAGAAGGCCAAGAAATCCAAGAAGGCTGAACTTGAGAGTGAGATGCCTGAGGTATCTTCTGCGCCAGTCGAGACCGTCTCGAAGACCATTGATGAGCCAGCTCGCGAGGAACAAGTTCCGGCGACTATCCAGGAGACACGCATTGAAGAGCCCGTCGTCGAGACACAGACCGTTCCCGAGGCTACATCTCCCAAGTCGATACCAGTGGTTACCGCAGGTCAAGATGATGTACTTCCAAGTACTCCGCTAGCTGGAGACGTCGCTGTTACCACTTCGGCCGATACCGCGCCTGCAACTGAAGCGCAAGATGAAGTCACAGTAGTCGAGAACGAGGACGTTGCGCCTGCGACTGAACAGCATGAGGAGGAGTCTACTTCCAAGAAGAGCAAGAAGAAGGCCAAGAAGGCTAAGCGTGCTTCCATCGCCGAAGAGCCTACTGTTCCTTCTGTTTCTGAAGCGACAATCGAGAAGGACACTATCCAACCTGAGCAAGCAGCGACTGTACCCGAACCTGCTGCGGACTCGACACCTGTGCCTACCATCGTTTCTGATACCCTCCCTGAGACCGCCACAACCGAGGAGCTTACTTCTGACACTACACCCGCGCCGGAAGTGTCTGTGGAGCGCGAAGCGACTGTCGATAGCACAGCCCCGTCCGTTCCTGAAGCCTCGGTCCGACAGAAAGAGGAAGCATCAGTTCCCAAGGAGCCGATAGTTGAGTCCAAGCCGACTGAGAAGACGCTGGCTGCCGATACACCCGTGCCCGAGGTCACTGAGGAAGCCGCCGCTCCACTCTCGAAGAAGGACAAGAAGAAGGCAAAGAAGGCGAAGCGCGTTTCGATCGCCGAGGAGCCCACTTCTATTCCGTCAACCCCTGTCAAAGAGAAAACTGAGCCAGTCTCGGAAGAACCTACGTCCTCGGCTACGGAGGCACCCGCCTCGGAAATCTCCGTTGTGGAAGAGGTGCCAAGCACTTTGTCCGACGTTACCGAAGACACTTCATCTCACCTTACGCCTGCCGAAGACCTCATTCCCACACCTGAGCCTGCATCTGAGGAACTCAGTCAAGTTGAGGCTGTACCTGAGATCACCAGCCCTGTCTCGAAGAAGGACAAGAAGAAGTCCAAGAAGTCAAAGCGCGAATCCATTGCTGAGGCGGAGACGGAGACTCAAGTCGAAACGCCAGCAGAGAGGTCATTAGAGCGCGCTCTTGACGCTGCTGACATTGCTGCTCCAGTTCTCGAGCAGCAGCCCGCCCAAGCCACATCAAGGGAGCCTACTGCAACTCCCGTGGTTGCTGAGGAGCCAAGCAAGAGCGAAGTGCCTTCTGCCGTCCCAGTTGAAGATGAGCGACTTCCCGCAACCACAGTTGCAGAACAGCTCCCATCTGAGGTAGTGGCTTCCGAGCCAGTCTCTGCCACCGTTTCGACCGAGACTTTGTCAGAAGAGCCCGTAGCGACATCTTCGACCATCGATGAGCCAACCACACCTTCCAAGAAAGACAAGAAGAAGGCGAAGAAGAGCAAGCGCGGATCAGTTGCAGAGGTCGAGCCATCTCTGCCTTCCACTCCGGTTGATGAACCCACTAGAGAGCTTACGGAAACAGTCAAAGATATTCCCACTGTTGAACAGGAGCCTGTAGTATCAACCATCGAGCCGAAAGAGCAGTCAGACGTTGTTCCTACCGTTTCTGAGGATACAACAGCCTCCACTCCTGCGGTTGAGCAGATCGTCACGGAACCCACGGAAGAAGAGGACACAGCGTCACAGTCGAAGAAAGACAAGAAGAAGGCGAAGAAAACAGCCAAGAAGGCCGAGGCGGAGTCTTCTGAGCCTATCGTCTCCGCTCAGCCTTCGACCGAAACAGCTGAAACCACTTTGACAGAGCAGCCTTCATCGGTGGTGCCTGAGACGACAACTACGACCACCACCATCGACGAGGTCCCGCGCACGAACGTTGATGATTCGACCGCTCCAGTCACAGTCGCCACTGAGGACCACGAAGGCAAGGAGCCAGCTACCAGCCGCGATGTGAACGACTCTACCAAGAACGAACAGCTCAGCATTGCGCCTACAGCTGACAACGCGGTTGAGACCACCACATCAGACGCACAGACTATTCCCAGCACCACTGCCGCCTCTACAGATGTCCAGCCGGACGACGAGCAAGAACCAGAGGAATGGGCTGGGCTATCGAAGTCGCAAAAGAAGAAGCTGAAGAAAGCCAAACGCGCGTCCGTTGCTGAGGTAGAACCATCCCGGTCAGCCACACCTGCAGAGGATTCGTCAAAGGTTCTATCTGCCGAGCCTCAGTCATCTGTTCCTGAAGTGGTCAAGGAGACCACTACTGAGCAATTACCCCAAGCGGATGAACCCAGTCCCCTACCAGTCGCGGGACCTACTAGCGACGCAAAGGAGGCTGAAGCATACCTGGAGCAGCCCACTGCGATTTCGGAGCCAACAACCATCTCCACCCCAGCTGAAGACCCTGCGCCAACCACCGCTGCACCAGACCCGTCACCAGGCGATCCCAAGCCGCCAGACAGAGAGCTCGAAGCGCCTTCGTCCCCTTCCTCCTCCAAGAAGGACAAGAAGAAGGCTAAGAAGCAAGCTAAGAAGGCAACACCTGCGGAGCCTTTTTTAGCAGATGAGACGCCTGAGGCAGCCAACTCTGATACTCAGCCGTCTCTGTCGATTCCTACACTTTCGGAGACCCAACTATCTTTCTCGGGGATACCGACACAATATCCCCAATCTTTTACGAATAACGAGCTTGTTGATGATTTTGATGATAAGAAGGAGGTGGAGATTGATGATGCCGCTGAGGAGAGGGGACGTGAGGAGGAAAAGAAAGATGAGGAAAAGGAGGATGTTCACAGGGAGGATGTGGAGATGAGAGATGAGGAAGAACAGGAGAAGAAGGTGGAGGAGGTGGTTGCCCAAGCTGAACAACGTGGAGAGCCTTCGGTCGTAGTCGAAGAGTTGCCAGAGCAGACTGCAACGGAGGCTGTCGCTGCTGAAGAGAAGCCAACGGAAGTGGAACAGTCTGTCGAATCGACCGTGGCGCAAGAGCCTACAACTGCCAATGCAGACGTTGCCGAGAAGGACATCAAGGAACAAGCACCTATTGTGGAAGACCTTGCGTCTGAGACAATCGTTCCAGTCGATACTAGCGTCACTGAGCCATCCTCGGCTCCAGCTGTCGACTCAGCGCCCACACTGGAAGACCCAATCCCGGTGGAGACGCCTCAAGAGCCCACATCTACTTCGATGGTCGTTGAAGAAGATCAACCGACTGCTCTGCAGCAACAAGACGAGATCAAAGAAGTTGTGCAGCAAGCTTCTCAGACACCAGCAATACAACCGCCCGCTTCACTCGGCGGAGGTGATGAGGACTCGACCGCCCCTTCTAAGAAGAAAAAGAAGAACAAAAAGGGCAAGCGCGCGTCCACAGTGGAGGAACAAGAGCCAGCCGTCAGCGTTTCTGAGCCTGAGCGCGATACCGCGGACAAGCCAAATGAAGACATTACGGTTGCAGAACCCAAGGAACCAGTCGCTTCTATAGCTGAGGATGTCAAGCCCCTAGAGGATGTCGCAATCGATCGAGACATTGAGGTTGCGCGTCCTTCCGAGCCTCAAGCGGATACAACGCCCGTTGTCGAAGAAGCCGCCCTGGCCAAGGACGAACACGCTACGTCTGATGTCCAGGAGCCTGTACCTGTTCCGATCGCGACAGAGGAGCGCGAGGATACCATCGCGCAGCCCGAAACCGCCACGTCTTTGCCTGAAGTGGGTGAAGAAACGACTATCGCAGAGCCTGTCCCTCAAGATATTGACCATACTGCTAAGAGCATCGAAGAACCCGCCATTGCAGTCCCAAAGGTTGATCAGGCTCAGGAGTCGATCTCAACGCCAACGTTCGAGGAGCCTACCTCATCAAAGAAGAACAAGAAGAAGAGCAAGAAGGCCAAGCAGGCGACGGCGCCTATTGTGACTGTTCCCGAAGCTCAGTCTTCTCAGCCAGAGGAGCCATCGTTCATGCAAGCTGAACCAGCCCCGCTGGCGTCTGAGCCAATTAACGAGCCGGAAGTGTCACGCGAGTTCCCGGCTCCTGAGCAGGTCGAGGATGTTCAACCAGCTGTTCCGACCATAGAAGAGACACCAACAGACGACAAGACGATCGCCCCAGAAGAGCCGATATTGAATCCTGGCGATGAGACGCACCAGCCTACGCTACCAAACACCGAACGTGAGGCGCCTGCTGAGGTTCAAGAATCCGTCCCCGAGCCTCCAACGACGGCACAGTTTGAGCCAGCGACTTCTGATGCCCTTCAGCTACCTACCGATGAGCTTCCTGTGCCTTCGCCTTCGAAGAAAGACAAGAAGAAGAGCAAGAAGGCTAAGAAGCAGTCCCAAGCGGAAGAAGCAGTGGAGGAGACCACTTCTGATGTACCTCGAGATGTTACTACCGAAGCCGCGCCTACTCCTGTCATTGAAGAGGTTGCCGAGGCGGTCGTCGAGCCAATTGCTGAGCCGGTCGTGGAATCAGTGGCTGAGCGAACCATTGACCCAGCCATCGAGACAACGCCGATCATTGAGTCCACACCAATTGAAGACGCATCCGCACCAAAGCCTGAGCACATGCCATTCGTTTCAGAGACTACCGTCAATGAGCCGACAACGTCTGACGATGCGCCAGTGCCTGTCACCGAAGACACCCTCGAGTTCTCAGAGCTTGCGACATCAAAGCTTGAGCCGGAAGTGATCTCCAAGCCAATAGAAGACGCCCCTCAGGTACCCTTGCCCGAGGATCGCATCATCAGCCCACCAGTCGAGACTTCCAGGGAGGAGTTTGTTGGCCCAATCCAGCCTGAGATCACATCAGATGCCAAAGACGAGCAACTTCCGACCCCAATCGTAGAGCCAGAGGCTCCACTCGAGATCGTTGATGCCGCACCGCTGTCCAAGAAGGACAAGAAGAAGGCCAAGAAGGCGAAATCGAAGGCTTCCGACGCTGTCACGCCTGTCAACGAAGTCGCAGTACAGCCCGAGGTCGCAATTGTCCAAGATGTTGGCACTAGCAGCGATGAGCCAGCGACTCGGGATGTGCCACTTTCTTTGCCTCACGAAGATGCTGTGGTTGAGACAACTAACCCTACGATTGGGCAAGAACCTTTACTGGACGACCGCGCACTTTCCATGCCCCAAATGGAGGAGATCAAAGAGGAAACCAAGAAGTCCGACCTTACACCGCCTCTCGTAGACGCTATTTCAACGCCCTTGCCTGATACTGTTCAAAAGCCTATCATTGAGCGACCGATCGAAGAGGTGTCAGCCATCGATGCGCCAGTCATTGCGGCGCAAGAGACTCCTGTTACACAGGAAATCGCAACCGAGAATCAAATCGAGGAGACAGTCAGCCAAAATGTGCCAGACACCACTGTCACTCCAGCGATCGTTGAAGAGCGACCTTCCAATGTACAAACGATGGACGTTGAGCCTCAAGTCGAAGAGCCAGCATCCCCATCAGTCTCCAAGAAGAAGAGTAAGAAGAAGGACAAGAAGTCAGATGTCACAACGCCAGCTCCCGAAGCCTTGCCTACAGCAGACTCCGACAGCGTTACTTCTACGATCGAGGACATCGCGTTGCCTACAGCCGAAGTACAAGACACCATCGCATCAGTTCCAGATGAGCAGCCGAAGGCCGAGGCTCCGATCCAACCAGAGACTACCGTATTGCCACAGACCGTCAGTGAAGCACCTGTCACCGAGACTGCATCTACAGTCAACGAACCATTCTCGGTACCAGAGACGACCGTCGTCGAGGAAGTCAAGAATGAGACCGTTACGCAGGAGCCCGTTCTTGAGCGTAAGCTGAGCAAGAAGGAGAGGAAGAAGGCCCAGAAACAGGCTGCTGCTCTGGTCGAGGAACCCATTGTTGAGAAGGAGCCCGTCGTGGAGCCAGCCACGGAGCCAGCCACGGAACCCACTGTCGAGCCTGTTGTCGAGTCTACCGCCGAGCCTATCGTCGAGCCTATCGTCGAGCCCACGATCAAGCCAGCGACGGTAGAACCAGCGCCTGCAGTCGATACCACTACGGTTGAGCGTGTTCAAGAGACTTACCCAGTGGTACATGAACTCGTTGTTGAGTCTTCATCTTGGCGCGAGGTACCAGAATCGACGATCGAGCTATTGCCTCAAGAAGCAACAGTGGAGGACACAATTGTTTCTACTCCAAAGAAGAGCAAGAAGGCGAAGAAGGACAAGAAAAGCAAGACGCAAGCTGCTGTTTCTGATCTTCCCGAGGAGCTTGTCAAAGAAACATCAAATCTTCCTGAGCAAGTACAAGCAACGGAAACGTTCGAGACTGAGCCCGCCGCCACCGAGCGACTACAGCCTATCAGCCTACGGGATCAGGACACAACGATCCCGGAGACTGAGCCAGCGACTTCGACGACCGCTCAGATCGAGGAGACAACAACGGAGTCTGTGAATACGGAAGAGCCTGTTGTCCATGCCCACATTACTCCCGAAGTAATCGAACAGCCTCAAGAGCCGGCTTTCTCACAAGAGATGGATGTTGACAAGCTACCGGAAGATGTCTCAACAGGCACCACTGATGTTCAGGACCGTTCTATCCCCGAAGTTGATGTGGTCGTTCCCACTGTCGCACCACCGATCTTTGAAGACTTCGAGCAACAATCCTCTCTAGAGCTGATGCCAGACGCCTCAGTCGAAGCGTCAGCGGAGCAAACCACCGTAGTGGAGGAGGCCAAGAGCGTCCCAGAAGCACAATCTGGGAGCATTGAAGCCCAGCCAGCCATCCTTGAACCGTCCATTCCGGAGGTACCTCTTGCATCATCTTCAATCGCTAGAGAGCTGCCATCGGAGATGCAATCCGAGCCTGCAACGGAAACAATCGAGTTGAGCAACGAGCAGACACTACCTGAGCCAGTGGAGGAAAGTTCCCTTTCGCGCTCAATGTCGAAGAAGACGAAGAAGGCCAAAAAGGGCCGGAAGTCTCTTGCCGACAACGAGACTTCTGGACCCGCTACGATTGCCAGTGAAGCCCCTTCAGAAATCGTCACCGAGACACCCGTTGAGCAGGTCGTCCATCAGCCAACTATCACCGAGACCGCGAAAGAGTTGGTACGGTCTCCCACGCCAGCAGAAGAGAACGCGCCGGTCGTTCCAGTAGTCGAGGAGACCCCAGTACCTGCCGTCGCCGAAGCTATTCCAGAAGACAACTACCAGAGCCTTGAGGAGCACCAGCCTATCGAGCCTATCGAGTCCACCACGACGCACGAAGAAGCTCGTCAAGTCACTCATGACGACTCTGTTCCAGCAAGCGAGCTCTCCCCTTCTCTTAGGGCAATCCAAGACGAAGCTGCCGATCTGCGACTCCGTGCAGAAGCACTCGATGCTGAGCTCGCCACACGAGACGACGCTGATGAGCCCTCCACCATCGAGCCCGCTTCCATGTTCGATATCGTCAACAAGCTCACGAAGAAGGACAAGAAGAAGGCGAGAAAGAGTAAGGGCGACACTGACGCTATGCCGACGACTCCTGCGGCCGAACCTGAGGCTGCGGTTGAGACGAAGGAAGTCGTCGAGACGCCCGCATTCGTATCTGCGCCGACCTTGACAGAAGAGCAAGTTGTCGATAAGGGAGAGGTTGTCGAGACACCCGCGCTGACAGAGGATACCATTGCGACCGATGGGCCTTCTCGCAAACTGAGCAAGAAGGAGAAGAAAAAGAAGGGCAAGCAGCCTGCAGTCGATACAGTCGAATCTTCCGAGACAGCAACGCAGTCGAGCGCGCCGATCGTTGAGTACCCAGAGCCAATCGCCAAGCAGCCAACAGAGTCACCACCAGTCGTCACTGAGTCTGCAGCAGACGCTGTCGCGCCAGAGAAAACCCACCAGGCTTCCCGTTCCATCGATACTGAGCGAGTAGTACTTGATGAGCCAGCTGCAGCCGACATCCCGGCCTCATCTACCGTCACCCAAGATCTTCAACAAACACTTGTGGAAGAGAAACTAGTGCCGTCAAGGAAGCTTAGCAAGAAAGACAAGAAAAGGGCTAAGCAAGTTGCCGCGCTAGAGGATGCAACAATCTCTCTATCTGAGGATGTTCCGTTCTCTACTTCGACTGAGTCTCGGGAAGTAGCTTTGCCTGACTATGAGGTAGCTACGTCAGTGCCTGCACCTTCCAGTGAGGGTTTTCCTGCGACGATTGTCGAGGCTTCCAAGGAGGCAGCTATTGAGGAAGTCCCGGCTATGACGCCGAGCCAACGTGAGGTGGAGACACAGGTCGATACCTCAATCGTTACACCAGCAGAGGCAACCACGGACAGTCGGCCACCACCCGTCGTCGAGCAACAAGAGCCAATTATCGAGGAGCCATCTATTCCATCTCCTAAGCTCAGCAAGAAGGGCAAAAAGAGAGCCAAGCAGGATACCCTCCCCGCGCAGGAACCCGAGGCGCCCGTTACGGTAGACGCACCGTTTCCCGAGACCAGTGAGCCCATCGTTACGAAGATACCGCACACAACCCAAGAGGTATCCAGGGACACTATCTCTAGTGGACTAGCGACCGTCGAACTTCCAATCGCGACGAACGTCACGGAAGAGGCACCTCGGTTAGAGCCATCTACTGTGCCACGATTTGACCCAGAGCCAGAGGTTAAAGTCACCGAAGTCCAGCCTGAACCGACTTCCATCGACCTTGCCTTCAAGACCTCCATTACGGAAAGCACCGAGCCGCCTCGCGGATTCCCTGCTGTGCGTGAATCAGAACCAGAGTCTGCGATTGCCCCGACTCTCATACGCAAAGAGAGTAAGAAAGACAAGAAGGGCAAGAAGCAAGACGTGCTTGCTGAACAGCTTCTCACATCGAGAACCGACGATGTAGTGGTCTCTGAAGGCGTCCGAACCGAAGAGCGGCCTGTTGACTCGTCAAAGCCCATGGACCAGCAAGTCACGGCTCCCATGGACATCCCAACTGAGCCCACACAAGACACGTCAATTGCGCCAGTCCTGGAGAAGCAGCCCCAAGAGATCATTCCGCCAAGGAATCTTTCAGAAGAGCGTGTGACCGTTGACGCTCCAGCGACCGAAGCCACCCCCGAGGCCGAGACGACTCCCACCAAGAGTAAGAAGCAAAAGCGCAAGTCAAAGTCTCCGAGGACGTCAAGAGTGCCCGCTAGCGTTGCGCCCATCGTTCCGGTCGAGGAGACAGCCCCTGAACCGACTGTTGCGCGTCAGATTGTGTACGACACCCGCCAAGATACGATCCGAGAACGCAGCCTTTCTCCCAGGAAAAGGCCTACAACGCCTTCAACGCCCGGGTCGCCAGTAATTGGAGCAATTCTCAGCCAGCCGAAGAGGGAACACGTCAGGTCGATGTCCAACGTCTCTATTCCTGATCTCCACTTCAGAGCCAGCGAATCCGATAGCACTGCTCAGCACCCTTTACTACACAAGAAGTCGTCCAAGAAACACAAGTTGGCGGCTTTGTTTGAGCGCGGCAAATCACCGGATGGTGCTCCTGTGGAACGAGGTCTGCGAAAGGAAGGATCTGGCAGTGTCAGAAACCTCGCCGAACAGTACGAAAGTCAATCACGATCTGTTACGCCCATTCTACCCCCATCCCCCGAGAAGCGATACCTGTCTCGATCTCCTTCGCCTGAGAAGCGTCAGCTCCATTCTCGAGTTGCATCTCGTAGTCAACTTGGCTTGGCATCACCAGTGCGATCAGATTCGAAGTCGCCCGCAAGAGACATAGACTTCGCAGCTACTGTCGCCGCCAGTTTGCAAGAGTCTGGTTTTGATCCTGGATATGTCATCAACGATAGAGCTTTCCATCGCTCGAACTCCATATCAGGTGCTCGCGATATCACGCCTGATGATGACATTGCCGCTGCAAAGGAAAGAGCCGGCAGATCACGACTTGGTAGCTTGAGTCGCTCATCATCGGTCTCCGGCTCGCCAAAACTACGACCACTCCAGCCTAGCGGACCCGATGTTCTGCCACCCATCGAAGTAGCAATGGCAACGACTGACACTGCATCGTTCGACCCACTGGATGTGCTCAACGACCCCGCTTTTGCAACGCGAAAGTCGCCTCCTGGTGTTCTTGAAGAAGCCGACCCTGATGAGTTGGCCGGGTCGTCAAGTCTGAGAAGGAACAAGAGCAATAAGAAGCGTTATCCGATACCAGAAACTCTAGTGGAATCTGAACACACTCGCGAAGAAGCAGACGCTTCAGTTGCGCCGATTGTTCGAGGCAAGAAGTCAAAGAAGGACGAAGAAGGAGCTCCACGTCTGCAAGACCGTGTTGAGTATGCAGCTGCAGAGACTCCAGCGATCGAGGCTCATCGAGATGTGCCTCTCGCTGTTGAGACTCCAGCTGACTCCACAGTCCGCGGAATTGAGCCTGCTCAGTCCGTGCCTCGCGCGCCAACCTCCACCGATGTTCTTCCGGAGGTGACGACGCAAACGACAGGATTGGAATTCAAGTCTATCGACGTCAAAGAGAAAGATTCCAACAGACAAGACACGATGACGAGGAAGGAGAGGCCCAAGAAGTCAGTGAAGAACGCCAAACCTGCAGTCACTGAGGATGTGCCCGTACTGCCCGTGACATTCGATCAGGAAGCCCGTTCACTGACCGCTGGAGAGCCGAAGGAATATCCATTTCCACAGGTGACGCAAGAGAAGGAGATCGAGAGGAAGAAGGAGGAGACACGCAGGCGAGAGTTGGAGAAAGAGAGGGATATGGATGCATGGGCTCCATCGCCAAAAAAGAAGAGCAAAAAGAGCAGGAAGACTGAAGAGAGGATTGAGGGAGAGTCGAGCACCGCGTTGAGGGACGCACCACCAGCCGAGACACCAGCTGCCGTTCCTGAAGTTCACAAGCGCAGGACACATCCTGTATCTTTTGACGATGAGCAGCCGGATGAGAAGCGCCTACATACATTGGAGTCCACTCAAGAGCCTCAATTCATCACTGAGAGAACAGCATCACCAGCGCATGTTGTCGCATCAGAACGCTCACACTCCGACAAGCGCTCCAAAGAAGCCAAATCATCAACGCATGGTGCAGCACCAGCCAACGAGCCATCATGGTCATTCGCCGAAGTTCAAGACGACAGCAGTCAGAACCCCGCCACTGCACAGTCAGCACAGCCAGTCGAGAACGCAACACGTACGCTGAGACGGTCGAAGGAACCGAAGACTCCTCTGAGTGCATCAAAACGCTCAATTGCAACTGATCAAGATGCCGAAGACAGCCCTGCTTTGCCAACACACCCAGTGATTTCTGGCGCGACAACTCCAGGCACCGACTTTGCGACGAAGGAGCGAACCTCCTATCTGTTCGATTCCTCTCCATCAACACGCGCCTATGGCACTTCACCAGCAATTGGGCCGCAAACGCCTGCTCATGATCCTCAGAGAGTCGATGATACTCCGTCAAAAAGCAAAGGCAAGAAACCACGCACGGAGTCGCAGCACGGTCGGACATCGCCTACGAAGGAGATTGTACAGAAGGAGTCATACAAATCCTTGTTTGGAGATCCAAACGAGAAGAAGGGTGAGGCCCTTTCCACGCCTGTCGCAAAGTCCGAACGCACGCCAGGCACCAAGCAACTCGAGTCCATTGAGGAAGTCAGCCCGGATGACACCAAGCACAAGAAGTCACGATCCATCGCTGATGTCGGCGCGCCAGAGCGAGGACTCAAGTCAGCTCGTCGCACCGAGAGTCTCAGGCAACTTTCTGATCGCCTGAGATCACCTCCGCCCAGCACGCCAACGCCCACGGGTCGTCGCAGTGTGGCATCCATGGCAGACAACTCGGGTGGAAGAGATTCACCATGGTCACAGGTCAACGACAGCGTTGACCGAACCATGACCCTCAGCCCCGCACGCCGCATGCCTCGCTCATCTCCGAGCGCAGACCCGTTGAAGCAGTACATTGCTGAGCAGCGGTCGCCCAGTGTCCAAAGTCAGCGTTCTCTGAGCAACATCGCGAGGCTTAGGTCTCCGGATCAGGAACGTCCTATGAGCTCTATGAGCAACATCAGCACGCGTTCGGATCGGTCGTTGAGAAGAGTGGACCGGCAAACGTCAGGTGACCTTAGATCAGCCTCGAGGCTTGGCGAGGCCAGTGCGCAAGACGCCAAGAGCGCGCAACCCAATCTCTCCAGCACGGCGCTCGCGGCTGGAGCAGCAGCCATCGCAGGTATCGCCGCCCCACCGGTTTACGACCCAGTCCGGGGTACAGGTAGAGGTCGCCGTACCAGTATGGCCGAAACCTTTGTAAGTAATTCGCAGTTGTTGCGCACGTCGCTTCTGATTACTGACTGTGTTTTGCAGGAAGCATGGGGTGAAGCCCAAAGGTCGCCTAGCTCGCCCTCACGTCCACCAAGCGTGCGCAAACGTCAAAGCATGCAAATCATGGACCTCCAGACGCAACTTGACCAGCTAGCTGCGCAAAACTCAGCTGTCGAGACCGCTAAGGCCAAGGCTGAGGAGGCTTTACAAGCTGCACAACATCAGCGCCAAGTTGACGAGCAACTGGTACTTGAAGAAGTAGAAGCACGTGACCGTCAGATTCACCAAAGGGATATCGACATTGCGCAACTCAAGGATACGCTTCAGCGACTACAAGAAGAGATTGCGCGCCTGAATCAACTCAACAACGCACTAACAGACGCCAATCGCAACCTGACCAACGATGCCAATGAACGATATGGCCAACTCCAGTCCGAGGGACAGATGGTGCATGAGCAATGGCAGGCATCACAACGAGAGCTAGAGAGCCTTCGCAGTCAATACGCTCAGCTTCAGGCTGAAGGCCAGGCCATGCAACAGCAATGGCAAACATCACAACGAGACTTGGAGGAACTTCGTCGTCAGCATACCCAGATGCAGCGAGGTCTCGCAGATGCCGTCCGCGATGAAGTTGGCGAAGCACTAGATGAGCGCAACGCCGAAATCGACCGTCTAACCGCAGAGCTGGCGACTGCACGCGAACAGATCAAGAACCTTCAAAAGCAGATCTTGGCTTCGAAGAAGCCTAGTGAGAGCTTCCTCACTGTTCGCGATGAAGACTACTTTGACAGCGCCTGTCAACAACTGTGTCAACATGTACAGCAGTGGGTGCTGCGCTTCTCCAAGTTCTCTGATACTCGCGCATGCCGCCTTTCATCAGAGGTCGCAGCTGATACACGACTGGATGCATCAACGCGTCAGAAAATCGACACTCGCCTTGACAATGCCATTCTCGATGGCTCAGATGTCGATTCACTCTTAGCGGACCGTGTCAAGCGCCGAGACGTCTTCATGTCCGTGGTTATGACCATGATCTGGGAGTACGTCTTCACCAGGTACCTATTCGGTATGGACCGAGAACAGCGCCAGAAACTCAAGGCGCTGGAGAAGACGCTTTCAGAAGTGGGCCCACCACGCGCTGTGGCACAATGGCGAGCTATCACACTTACCCTTCTTGCGAGAAGAGAGCCTTTCATGCAGCAGCGCGCTCAGGACACTGAAGCTGTGGTGCACGAGATCTACAGCACACTCTCGACACTTCTTCCGCCACCATCGCATCTGCAGCGCCAGATCCAGGAGTCGTTGCGCAACGTGATGCGCTTGGCAGTGGAGCTATCAATTGAGATGCGCACGCAACGCGCAGAATACATCATGCTGCCGCCGCTACAACCCGAGTACGATACCAAGGGCGATCTCGTCGCCAAGGTTACTTTCAACGCCTCTCTAATGAACGAACGGTCAGGCGAGACGACGTCGAACGACGAACTCCAAGCCCGTGGGTCGGTGGTCAAGATTGTACTGTTCCCCCTAGTCGTCAAGAAGGGCGATGACTTCGGCGAAGGCGAGGACGAGATTGTCGTCTGCCCAGCCCAGGTCCTGGTCGCCGGAACCAAGAGCAGGAAGGTAGTGAGGGTCATGAGTGGAGCGATGTCGATCAATCGTCCCGACTCACGAGCAAGCCGTATCAGTCGGGTAACGAGCGTCGCGCCCCCTGAGAGCACGATCATGGACTACGAGCAACCCGGTAGCAACATGATCTAGATGGACGGCCGTTTGGATTACGAATTTCTTCTCATCTTACCTTGATAGCGTGGGCGGGTTTTGTGTTTGGCGTTTGGGATATCATTTTACCACTTTACGAGATTTCCTTTGTTTTAGTATTAGCAGTAGTTACATAGCATCACTTGCAGCGCGTTTAGCACGATTGTATATTAGTCACGACAGCACGACAGCTGTAAATAATAATCATTTTACGATCCTGACAATAATCCCTTTCAATCCCTGAATCCCTTCCGATCTCTTGGCAAATCTCATTTGCACATGGCGACAGGGAAATCGCGATAGACAGCGCCAGATCCTCGGTTGTGGGCTCCATTAGGATTGCGCCAGCCTTGTTTTGGGGCGACCCCGCTCTCTCCCTGGTGGGCGTGGCACAGCTGCACGACGAAGGAGTACCACAGCCGGTCCGTTTAAAGAGTCGCGACGCGCGAAATGTAAACGCTATCCGTTTGTGCTAGTTGCGGCTTTCCACGCGCTATCCCGACCACTACCACTCTTTCCGACATCCAACCACCCAAGACACTGTCGCGATGCCGATTCGAAGCGACTGGACCCTTGCGCGGGAAGGTAAGCACCGAGCCATTGCCGCCCCCACCGTCACAATGGCGATGATATCGAGTAGGACGCTTTTCTAACGTGACCAGGCGTGACTGGCGACACTATCAGCCGCCTCATCAGGTACACGGCCTTCAACCCTGCCCTCACGCTGCCCCTCATTCTCCTTGCGCGCTACACGCACCAAGGCAACGCCATCGCCGAAGACCATGCCGCAGCATTCAAGGGCTTGAAGACGCTGCTGGGCTTGGGTGCGCTGAGTACCGTCAACGCCTGGCTCAACAGCGGCGTGACCAACAACTGGAGCGGCGACGCCTATGTCTGGAGTCGCGAGGTGGTCGTTGTAACCGGAGGCAGCGATGGCATTGGCAAGATTGTGGTGCAGTTGCTCGCCGAGAAGGGTATCAAGGTCGCCGTCCTGGATGTTCAGGACTTGACGTATGAGGGTATGTCTGCAATTGAGCCTTAGTCGCATTGACGGGTTACTGACACTCACCAGCACCATCATCCGTCCGCTTCTTCAAATGCGATCTCACCGACCCCGAGGCCATCGCCTCCGCCGCCTCGTCCATCCGCTCCACACTCGGTAACCCCACGGTCCTGATCAACAACGCTGGAGTCGCACGCGGCAAAACGATCCTCGAGTCGACAGAGAAGGACATCAACCTCACCTTCAAGGTCAACGCCTTCAGCCACTACTATTTGACGCAGCAATTCCTGCCCGCCATGATCGCCGCCAACCACGGCATGATCGTTACCGTCGCCTCCGTAGCCGGCTACCTCTCCGCGCCCTCGATGGTCGACTACGCATCCTCCAAAGCCGCCGCCCTCTCTTTCCACGAAGGCCTCGCCGCCGAACTCACAGCCCGCTACAACGCACCCAAGATAAGGACTGTGCTCATGGCCCAGAGCTACACCCGCACTGCCCTGTTCGAAGGCTTCGATTCAAAGGGCGTTCTTTACCCGGAGACGGTTGCGGAGAGCATTGTCAAGGCTGTGCTAAGCGGCAAGAGTCAGCATGTTGTTCTGCCTGAAACTAGTGGGCTGTTCATTCCAGCGATAAGGACTTGGCCGTACTGGATGCAGTATGGGCTGAGGAAGAGGCTGGGTAAGCTTATGGCGGGGTGGAAGGGCAGGCAGGTTGTCCAGCCTAGTTTGGCGGGGGAGGAGAAGAAGGTCGAGGATAGTACTGTGCTTGTTGATAAGGAGTAGGGGGTGGATTATGCGTGTTTGCTTGTGGTACTGTCAGCGATTTGCACATCATCTCGAGTGATGTGTGTTGGGGTTGTAGATGCTGAGCTGTTCATATTTCTTTTGATGTGTTACATAATCTTGCAGTATACCTTTGATATAATTGAGCGATATCACCAGCACATACTCAATTGAAGTAAAGTGACTCTGGCTACGGATGGTCTTAAGATAAGCATCGCTCTCGGGGATGTGAGTTGTGATAGAAGTAGACTGTTAAGAAATGACGTAAGCGTACACGTGGTATGCATCAACATCGTAGCATGGCAAGTGTACATCACAAAGCCTCCTGTAACCCATCCCGATATCCTAGATACTTTGCTATTTTCATATTTTCCAAATCGTCGTACGAAACATGGCCCATCTAACACGGGAAGAAGTCCTCAAGTCGGGTGAGGTGTCCGAAATATACAGAAAGGTAGGTACCTAGGTACCATAAGCCCACCAGTCACTTCCTATACCACTTCATCACCATTCCTTCAAACCCCCAGCCCCCTGACCCCTACCCCCAAACTCACACCCCACCCAAGGCCTTTACAGCCCGCCCATTCCAAACAACAGGCCCAGACTTCTTCGCCCACCGCGCCTCCCGCGCAGCCCACCTCTCGCAGCTCCGCCACCTCTACCCCATCCCCGGTCCCATCCCAGAGCATGTGACAGAAAGCCTCCACGACGTGCCAACCCGAGATGGAGCCTCCATCCGCGTCAAAGTGTACCAGCCTGTTGCGGGTCCGCCGGAGGATGGCAGTCCACTGATTATGATGTACCACGAAGGAGGCTGGAGTATGGGTGATTTAACGGACGAAGACATGAATTGTCGGATGTTTACGAGGGAGTTGGGGGCTGTTTGTGTTAATGTTGAGTACCGGTAAGGATGCACCCCGGTTTCCCATCTCAGACCTCTATCATCCCATGCTATTTACTTTTTCTCCTCGTCTTCCCTTCTCCCTCTCCTGTCCATCAAAACCCACCTATTCACACGTACCACCCCAGTCTAGCACCCGAGCACAAATTCCCAACCGGCGTCCACGACTGCCACGACGCCCTCCTCTGGGCCATCAAAAACAGCGACTTACTCAACGCAACACCCACCCGCGGCGTCCTCGTAGGCGGCGCTTCAGCCGGCGGCAACATCGCCGCTGTCCTTGCCCTTCTCGCCCGAGACACAGCTTTAACTCCACCCATAACAGGCCAGTACCTCTGCGTCCCCGCCCTCCTCCCCCACACAAACGTTCCTGCCCACCTACTTCCCCTCTACCAATCCCGCACTTCCAATACTTCCGACCCCGTCCTCAAAGACATGGCACCAGGATTCATCGAATCCATCTACGAACCCCAGGAAAAGTCCCCGCTTTGGGACCCGTACAACCATCCAGATGGACATATGGGTGTCGCGAGGGCGTTTTTCCAGGTTGGCGGCTTGGATCCGTTGAGAGATGAGGCGGTGCTTTACGACAGGAAACTGAGGGAGAGTGGGGTCCTGACGCGGTTTGAGCTGTACAAAGGGTTTGGACATATGTTCTGGACGAACTATCCCGAGTTGGAGGAGAGTAAGGAGTTTAGCAAGGACACGTTGGAGGGGGTCAGGTGGTTGTTGGAGAGGTAGGTGGGCGTTGTGTTTGTGTATGTGTTTGATTGATTTCATGTGAATACGATACACTATGAGCATGCCAACCTACACGTCTCCTCACACACACACACACACGTAACCACCTCAGCATCTCGCAAATCAGCGATACCGACCAGTAGCATCACCCCACTGATACCCGTTCCTCCAACCCCACTGCCCTCTTCTCTCATTCCAATACCCCTGCATCCCCGGTGGATTACCCATATGTCTCCAATGTCCCCAGTTGAAGTGCCCGTGAGGCACTTGAGCGAGGTTGTCTGCTGTGATGCGATCTGGGCGGCGGTAGTCGGCCCAACGGACGCCTCGACCTGTCATACTGGGAATGGTGCAAGGGTGGGTTACTGTGTAATTAGTTTGCTTGTGGGGTTTGTGGGTTACTTAGTTAAGCTGGTCAGGCTTTTGGGGGGGAGTAGTATAGTTAGATGACTGAGGAAAAAGACCTCCGAGGTACGCATATAATGGAGGAATGTGCTGGCATGAGTGTTAAATTGGGACTTGAAGGATGTGATGCGTAGCTTCGGTCATGAACAGATATGAAAAGATTCGACCGAGAAAATATTGTACATGCTTCACGCCCATGTAGATGGCGAAGGCACTAGCAGCAGATACAGTAGAACAACTCAGAAAGCACGTGGTGAGGGAACAGCAATCTGGAACGTGAAAGCTTGTATTGGGTACGGAAATACACTGTGGGTATAAAGCCATGCTAATGACGACCGTGAACCTGTAAGAAAGCCTTTGCTATCGAGAGCGTCGAATAAAGTTGTATAAAACGCAGATGCCTGGAAGTGGAAGATGCTGGCAAAGAAACAAGAACCAGATCATGAACCACCCCTTGGACTGCCCGAGGGCGCCTTGTTGACCAAACTGGAGAAGAAAGATCTCAGCTTCTCGTTGTCGTTGATGTTGGTATCCTGCGTTTTGGGAGGTGGTGTTTCAGGCTCGTCTGATCGGTTGGCTTGACGGTCCTGGAATGAAGTTAGTAAATGTTCTATATCTCTCCAGGAGGGATGGACTTGTGCTTGACGTACCTGTAGCCTCTTGACCATTTCATCGGCATTGACTTGAATTCCACCCATGTTGAATTGTACAGGTCCAATATGCTCTTCAACAACTCCTGATGCGTCGTCGGTGTAAGTCCTAGAGATTGATGGGTCTTGCTCTTTGCGCGCAGCCTTCATGGCAGCTTCATTCTCATCCTCCCGCCGCAGATTCTCAAGAACGTTGACTTGATCGGCGAGGAAGGTCTGTGGATCTTTGCTTGATACTTCGAGCCCGTTGGCTTGTTTCGACAAGCTGGAAAGTGCGTAGTCTGACTCGGGGTTGCGAATCGTCTCTTCGTAGATTGAGGTCGCCGACGGGCCTTCCTCTTCCTCTTCCGCTGGCGCAACCTGTGTCTCTTCGCCGTTCGGTTGAGCTTCTCCGTCGACGGGTGCAGGTACTTGGCCGTTGGTCGGCCGCATGTGCTGGGGGATGTCGATGTCAACACTCCATCTCTCGCTGATGCCCTCCACATCGAAACCTTCTCGTAATATACGAATCTTCGCCC